TGGAGCATTTTCTCAATCTGTTGAGATTTTGCTTCCTGGCAATTGTCAGTTTGGCTCAAATAAACTCTCATAAGCTTTCTCTTGGGCTGGATGTTTTTTCGTCAGCATAACTATTGTAATAGAATGGCAGTGTCATGTTTTTGCCAAATATTTCTCCTTGAGTTATTGTCCAAAGAGATTATTTTTTTGTGATATTTATATATCTGCATCCTGCATATATGTATCTATCTGTGTGTATAAAATAGCATATATATATATATATATATATATATATTCACAAACTTTTTGATGAAGAAATTATGATTTTTTTATACCAAGTTCCAAATTCCAAATCGCATGCTAAATATAGGGGCAATAAACTGTTTTAAATACTAACATTTGTTGAGCCCTTAACTGTATTCTAGCCTCAATGCTACTGCCTTACATTTTATTAGGTTATTTAATTTTTAGAATAACATCCTATAGTCACCATCATTTTTAATAAAGTTCTCAAACAGTTAACCTAGTTTATCACTTTCTAATTAAAGCACCAGGAAATTAGTTGTTATGCAGTGATAGGAAATATACCTAATATATTTACTTTACCATTACAAAATTGGAGCACCAACCTAAGCAGGTTTAGGAAAAAATCCAATAGCCAAGTCAATGAAAAACATCCCGTCTAAGAGAAAGCTTATGAGTTTATTGAGCCAAACTGTTGACAATTACCAGGAAGCAAAATCTCAACAGATTGAGCAAATGTTCTGCAAACTGGTGGTTTGCAGTTTATTTTATACATAGAATCAAAGGAGGAAGGTTACATGAAATCCATTGGTGACAGATTAAGGGGGTGAGAGAAAGCAAAGCGGGGAAATCTCTGGGATTGGATAAAAGTAATTGGAGTGACAGGTACTTCTTTTACATAGGTGGGTGCAGGATAGCTAACAGTTAGCTTTTTACAGCACATAGAGATGGTAATCAGGAGATAAGCATAATAATGAGGGATTCTGTAGTTTCCTGCTCTGGTCTGGAAAAAGGGATTACTGACATTCCAAGGATGTCATTTTAGGTGCAAAAACACAATAGACAGGCTCACTTAAGGTGAAGATTGACTTTATGAAGGAAGCTTCAGGCTAAAGATGTGACTTCACGTCATGGCCCACCTTAGTTATGAATTTTTTTTATGTTCATGCCATCCTATGTGGCTATTTTCAGTCTCTTGACCTTGTCAGGTTTAACCTGTGACCCCTTTTCCATCCACACCACTAAGTTGCGGACTGTAGTGTCCCATCTTCGAATTTTTCATTTTTTTCAGCGAAGCTTATTTCTGTTAAGTGCCAAAACATTTTCATGGAAATCTTTCTGAAATCTGTTAGAACTTAATTCCTTCCTTCAACAGAATATATGGAGTGCATGTATTTTAACATTTGGCTCAGAGCATCTTTGTGACAATTTCTAACTGAAATTTAAATACAAACTTTTCCATCTTTTTGACTGATTCTCCTCTTGTGGGTGATATGTATCTCTACCTTTTATCAGATTCCCTGTTTTAATCTTTTGCATTTTTTTTTTTTTTTAGCTGAGCCATCCTGCCACCTGTTGGCAGCTGGCTCGGGCTGTGAATCGAACCAGCGACCCTGTTGCTCAGAGCTCGCACTCTTGAGCGAGCTCTTAACCAACTGAGCCACTTGGCCAGCGCTTAATCTTTTGCTTTTAACTTGTTCTTTTCTGGGAAATTAAATGATCGGTGTTGCTACTTATTTATGACTTGAAAATAAATTTGATTAAAAGCCTAAGGATGGAGCCGGCCAAGTGGCTCAGTTGGTTAAGAGCACAAGCTCTGAGCAACAGGGTCACCAGTTCGATTCCCACATGGGCCAGGAAGTGGCACACAAGCTGAGCTGCCACTGAGCTGCCAACAGGTGGCAGGATGGCTCAGCTGGTGAGAGCGCATGCTCCTAACAACAAGGTTGCCAGTTCGACTCCCGCATGGGATGGTGGGCTACACCCACCCGCAACTAAGATTGAACACAGCACCTTGAGGTGAGCATCCGCGAGCAGCCGATGGGCGGCCAGATGACAACTGGACTTGGAGCTGAGGTAGCTGCGCCCTCCACAACTAAGATTGAAAGACAACAACTTGGCTGTTCCCCTTCCCCAATTCCCCAATAAAATCTTTAAAAAAAGAAGAAGAAGAAAAGGGCCACCCGAGTGGCTCAGTTGGTTAAGAGTTAGCTTAAGAGCACGAGCTCTGAGCTACAGGGCTGCTGGTTCGATTCCCACATGGGCCTGTGATGCTGCGCCTGAGCTGAGCTACCAACAGATGGCAAGATGGCTCAGCTGGTAAGAGCACATGCTCCTAACAACAAGACTGCCTGTTCGATGGTGGGCTATGCCTGCCCGCAACTAAGACTGAACTGGGCACTTTGAGCTGAGCTGCCACCCAGATGGCTCAGTGGCTAGAGCATGCACTCTTAACAGCAAGGCAGGTTTGACTCCTGCATGGGATGGTGGCTACGCCTACCGGCAACTAAGATTGTAACAGCACCTTGAGCTTAGAGGCCACGAGGTGCCAACGGGCAGCCAGATGGCGACTGGCACCCTCCACAATGAAGATTGAAGAACAACAACTTGGTTGGTCCCCTTCCCCAATTCCCCAACACTGTTCCCCTCCCCCAAATCCCCAATTAAAATAAATAAATAAATAAATAAAGTCTCAGGACGTCTCCTAAGATTGACAAATACTTAGTACAGACTTACGTTACAGCATTTATTGACTGTCACGGTTGTTTCTGAAATCTCTATTGTTCTGAGATCCCAGTGAACAGGGACCATTTTATTCATCATTTTATCCCCAGATTTTACAGCAGTTGTAGACACATGTACCTCAACAAACGTTCTCATATTCTTATATTTGTCATTATATAATTTTCTATAACCTTCATGATTAAAAGTTTAATAAGAACCAATGTTGTAGACATTGGCATATCAGAACAAAATCTCTCCATATGATATATCATTCTTTAATCAGTTGTCTGTTGTTGGTAATTCAGATTATTTACAGTTTTTAGCTTTTAGAAATAATCTTATGTTGGGGCATATCGCCTTTTTCGTCCATTGCTATAACTAACTCCTAAAAATGGAACAAGTGGATCCATAGATACGAATAATTTTATAGTAGTCCTAAATTCATATTGCTAAATTATTTCCCATAAAGATTATATTGTAAATTCACAACTTTTGCCAGGACCCCAATTTGCCAAAATTGAATATTTTCTTTTTTTTTAATGCCTTAATTTAATATATTTTAAATGGAATATGAGTTGCACACTGTTCCTTGCATCTGTTGTTCTCAAATTGTATTTCTTTGGCTGTAGCCTTTTGCCAATTTATAGCAGAAGATCCTTTGCCTTTTTATAACATAGGATATTTTTTGCCTCAGTTTTTATGAGTTTTCAATAAACTCAGGTTTCCTTTATTTCTAAGATATGATTGATTATAATATATATACCAATTTAATAACTTTTAGGAGAAAAGAAATACATCTACCATAAATATACATGAACTATTAGATGAATTTTAGTTCCAGAATTGTTCAAATGTTTTTCTTTTCCCCAACTAAAGCAAGTCTGGTTTATTTGAATGCTTTCATTAAATTTACCATTTTAACCATTTTAAGTATACAATTCAGTGGAATTAAGTATATTCACATTGTTGTGCAGCCATCACCACTATCCATCTCTAGAACATTTGCATCATCCCAAGTTGAAACTCTTTAAAGGGGAGAAAACCCCAGATTCTGCCTGAACCATTTATATTTTCAAAACAGATAAGTTATAAGTAAGTACAGATTGTATTTATGGGTATTCCCTTGTGTGATGGGGGACTTTACAGATAGATTTGGCTACAGGAAGATCAAATGCTCCATATGAAAATTTTATTCATTAAACAATACCTTCCCATTACTCTCTCACCCCGCTGCTCTACTTTCTGTCTCTATGAATTTGCCTATTCTAATCACATTTTGTTTATCCATTCATCCACTGATATTTGTTTCCATCTTTTGGCTATTACGAATACTGCTGCTGTGAACATAGGTGTACAAATATTTGTTTGAGTCCCTGTTTTCAATTATTTTGAGTGTATACGTAGGAGTGACATAGCTGGATCATATGGTAATTCTATGTTTAATTTTTTAAGGACTACCATACTGTTTCCACTCAGCTGTACCATTTTGTATTCTTACCAGCAATGTAAAAGGGTTCCCAATTAAAACATCAAACAAAGGATATATATTTCAAACATATGGAAAAGTATAGACAGTAATAAACAGAAACTTGTGAACAAACCACTTAAATTGTAACATTTTCTACATTTGCTTAAGTTCTTTTTAAATTAGATGTCATATCTAAACTCCTCTCTCATTTATCCCATTTCTTCCTTCAGAGGTGATTACTATTCTAAGGATGCCTGTGTGTCTTTCCTTGCATGTTTAGTACTTCATATCCATCTCTCTCTCTCTCTCTCTCTCTCTCTCTCTCTCTCTCTCTCTCTCTATATATATATATATATATATATATATATATACACACACACAAGATAATAGTATTTAAAATTTTACATATTTGTTTCATAATATATGTGTTCTTTTATAGTTTGCTTTTGCATTCAAAAATTTTTTTTCAAAATTTTTTATTCAAAAATTTTAAAATTGTCCAAGCTTTATTGAGGTATAATTTACATACAATAAAATTCACATTGGAAGTTGGAATTGCTGGGTTCTGGGGTATACTCATCTTCCGCTTTCATAAATATTGACAAATTGCTTTATAGAATGGTTGGACATTTAACTTATAAAGCTGCTATTACTTCCAAATTACTACAGACTTACATTGGTCTTTTGTAAAGAGTTTTTCTTGCAAGTAGATACTTGCTTCTTTTTGTGTCAGAGTATTTCCCAAGCTTTTTCATACTATTATAGGCATATTTTTTCTTTTCATTTTCCTTTATTTTTTAAATAGGAGATTCATATGGGACATTGTGTAAATCTGACTGATGAGGCTGTAGAAGCTGTCCTCACTTGCTGTCCTCAGATACGCATATTACTGTTCCATGGATGCCCCTTGATAACAGGTTAGTGTGATAGACTGCTTGGGTTGAAATCCTGGTTTTATCTTTTAATAACTGTGTGTTCTTGAGTAAATTACTTAACTCATTCTATTATTCAGTTTCCTTTTCTCTAAGGTGGGTATACTGACAGTACCTATCTCATAAACTTGGTCACAATGATTATCTGACAACACTTTATATGGTGTTTAACACTTAGTAAGGGCTCAGTAAATGTTAGTCACGATAATGGTGGTGGTGGTGGTAGTGATGGGAAGTGCTCAAAAAATGTTAACAATTGTGGGGATGATGATGGTGGCAGTGGTAGTGGTCATGATACTAACTAAACGTGATGCTTTATGTACACAGTAAAAAACTCAAGTTTATAATATTACATCTATCTAATATGTTAAATGACCTGTTAACTATAATCTCATCAGTCTTGAGATTCTTCTTGAGAGCCCACTTTGTAGCACCCCCACCTCCTTTATTGCATGTATCTCCTATCTGCAGTTCTCTTTTTTTTTTTTTAAAGATTTTTATTGGGGAATTGGGGGGATGGGAACAGTGCTGGGGAATTGGGGGGAGGTGAACAGACAAGTTGCTGTCATTTTGTTCTTCGGTCTAGTTGTGGAGGATGTTGCTTCACTGACCCAAGTTGGCACCATCATTGCGCTCTTCCTGGGCGAGGCACATCAGTCGCCAGCTTCTGGACGGCCGCTCACGGCGGCTGTTGGCCGCTCATGCCGGCTGCTGGCCACACACAGTAGCCCATGGCAACCCACTGCCACAGGAGCTGCAGCCTACGCCGTCGCCGGTGACTCACAGCAGCCCAGCTCCAGGTTGAGCTGTTGTTCAGCATCTTAGCTGTGGAGGGCAGTGTCACTGGCCCTCATATGTGGGATCCGAACCAGGGTCCTCTGGTGTCCCAAGCCAGTTCTTAACCATCCCGCCACCCGACCGGCCCTGCAGTTCTCTTGATTCAAGCAAATAAATTTGCCTGGAAAATATGTTCAGTGATTAATTTTTATAACAAGGTATAAACAGAGGCTTAAATTGACACTATTTTCTTCACACTATTTTAATTACAGATCTGCTTTAAAGGGGCTAATTTTTCCCATAGCCAGATGAAATATCAGACATGTACCATTGACTTTTCTTATAATTCTCAGATAGTGAAGTCTCATCATTTCATATCACGAAAACATTCTCATTTCAGTAATTCAAATATCTTAGGCCTGCGTAATACTCAAAACAAGTTACAGTTAAAGCCTTTTGCTCCTCCGGTCAGCTCCGGTTTTGCTGTAGGTGGATCGACTGTAGTAGGTGTGGGGACATTGTTAGTTTCTCTGTTTTGTCATCTCATGCTTTTCTTCCTTCCCCAGCTTGCCCACCATGGTTTCTGACCCCACCAACGTCAGTACATGGTGGGATTGGCGTAAGCAGGAGGGGAGATGAGAGAAAGAAAAAGTCTTACGTTATCATAACTGCTGTAATCTAGTGTCAGCCCTCTGTGCTCTGCGGGTGAGCTGATCCTGATTTGTACTCTCCCAAAAGTGGGACACTTTTGAGGTTCTTCAGAGCCCACTTCCTCCCACCCCCCTCATTATTGCATGTATTTCCTCTCTGCATTTCTCTTGATTCCAGCAAATGTCTCTGGAAAATATGTTGCAGTGATCAATCTGATTTTTAAACCAGGGGTTTTTTTTAGATAAATGACATAATTATTGCCATCACTGGTAACCAAAGAGATATTGTCAGCTGGTGAATTCAAGAGAAATGCCTAGCTATTGTAATATGATTCCAGACATCAGGAAAGCTTAATCCCGCTAAACTTTTCCTCATCCACATAATGACTCAAAATACTGAATTTACCAACTCAACTTTAAGATCCTAAAGGACAGTGGTTATGCCATGTACCGTATTTGCCGGCGTATAAGACGATTTTTTGGCCCTGAAAAATATGCCTCCAAGTGGGGGGTCGTCTTATACGCCAGGTACACTTCAGATAGACTGCCCATAGTGCTTGCCCCGTGCCATAGTGGCCTCCCGATGCCCGCCCACTTCATTCCACATACTGTTCAGGCATCAGCAGCGCTGCTGGGTGTATGCTTGGCTGTTATGCGATTTTGCTGTTATGCGATTTTACCACACTCGCAAAATCGCACACAGCTGACCATACACCCAGTATGATAGCGCAAAATCGCGAATCGCGATACCATACTGGGTGTATGGTTGGCTGTGTGCGATTTTGCGAGTGTGGTAAATTCAGGTTACCATATATTTCTTTACATATGCATTGAAGATTCGCGATTTTGCGCTATCATGGTGCCTGCTAGAATGTTGAAGAGCTCGCACTTGCGCACTAGTGAGGTCCCAGGGAGATGCTGATGCAAGGGTGGACCAGACTGCTATAGTGACAGGGCGGGCAAACGGAGCAGGGACCAATCAAATCAGGCTTTGTATACAGCCAACAGCCAACCACAATACTGCACCATTGTACAGTACAGCATAGAAAATGTCGACCAGTCAAACCCCTATCATCCCTATCATGGCACCAGCCAAAAGAAAGAAGTATGATGCAAATTTTAAACTGAAAGTTATAAACTTTGCTAAGGAAAATAATAATTGTGCTGCTGCAAGACAATATGGAGTAACAGAAAAGATGGTTCGGGACTGGAAATCAAATGAGAAAGCATTAAAGAGTATGCCAAGGGGTAAGTGTGCATTAAGAAGAGGCACCCCACACTGGCCAGAACTCGAAAAACACGTAGCAGACATGGTGGCTCAACATCGCCAAAACGGTTATGTGGTGACACGAAATACAATACGCTTGTTTGCACTTCAGTGGGCCAAATCAAATCTGATATTGTTTTACCTTTTATTTGGTGTGTGGAAGGTGTGCGGAAGAGGGGGTAGTCTTATACGGCGAGTATATAACAAACTCTGTATTTTGAGTGGAAATGTTAGGGGGTCGTCTTATACGCCCAGTCGTCTTATACGCCGTCAAATACGGTAATTCTTTTTTTTTTGTCTTCCATATCTAGTACAGTGTTGTATACATATATTCAATAAGTATGTATAATTAATTCTAGATTAGAAAAGTAAAATTAGTTACATTTTTCTATACAATAGAGCTACTTGAGTGAGACATTAAATTGGAAATTTCAACTAAGGCAACAAGATACAGCAGGTATAAAATTCAAAAGTGAGAGAAATGCCAAAGATGACCATTTTCAAAAGAAATATATGAGAACCTATTTCACAACCCTAGAAACCAGTCATCCACAAAAAAGTTTTAAAGGGCTGTGATGATGATTATTGAGAAAGGACTTCGGTGAGGACTTCTTTGGATAGTGCTGCTGTTTTTGACTTTTCACCTAGAGCCCAATGAGTGGAGCCTCAGTGGAACTACTGGGGCCTGATATGTGCCCTCTGCATAGGCTAGCTGTTGACAGTAGGAGTGAAGGAAAGGCTGCTGCTGCATTAAAATCAGCCTGAACTCCCATTATCTGAGGGTGCATAGGTGTTGCTCATAGACCAGATGTGGGTGTGGTGGGAGCGAGAGCCGTTCTAGAGAGATGAGTGCAAAGGGGCATTGGGTATTTTGCAACTTAAAATGTGGTTGGACATTTTATAGTAGGAAAGATTAGAAAGTCATAGTATTACCTAAATGTGCATCCGGAAGCAAGGGAAGAATGATCCGTCAATGAACAGACAAAGGGATATCAACACTGTACTTTAATAGCTGTGATTGTTAAACATATGAATGTTCAGGTCCATTGATCAAGGGCTCCTGTGGGAAAAATACAAGCAGCAGGTACAAGCAAGCAGGGAGCAAGACAAGATGGCTTCTAAGATAAGATGGTTTTCTATTTAGTACAGTTTCTGTTCAATAGATTCCTGGTGGTTTCTACAGGCCTAAGGTGGTTTCTTGCTCCTGGCCTAACAGTAGTGCCCACTGTAGTTACCCATCAGATTCCCTGAATTAATAGGTTTATGTTCTCTACTATATCTCTAGGTACTTACAAAACTTCCATATTGTCAGACTATAAACAAAACCCCACATTATAAATTAGCTCTTGAAACTTGTCAGAAGCACTCTGATTTTATTTCTGCAGAAAAAAGGAACAAACAAAAAAACTAAGCTGCTATTTTAAAATCCTGTAAATGACAGGCATTATAGAAGCAGGAAAGTAATTCTTAAACATAAGCTTTTAATTTAATTATGTCTATAAATGGTGATCAGTAAGTTCAACTCACACACTTTTGTTAATCTTCTACAGTGAACATGCATTTTAGTTTCATAATTATCTAAACATGTTTCACAGTATTCACAGATTGGAGGTTTAGATTTGGAAGGGCAATAAAGCAATTAGATAGTACCCCAGTCCTTATGTTTACATTAAAAGGCAGGAAAACCAGCAAGAAATCTGCTGCTTTGAATTGACTCAATTTTGATGATATCTGAGGATTTCTTTCAACATGATTACTTTACAAGGAAGTTCTTTACATAGATTCCTAGATAACAACATTTACCCCAAAGTGCCAAAACTAAACTATTTTCAGACCCAAGTGGTTTTCTCAGTTTAACTGTAATTAAGCTGATTTCTTGCTTAAAGGACTCTTTTTTTTTATTTTCTCAATCCTATATTATTCTGTTACCTTATCCTTATTTATTCATTCATTACTAATCCAGTATGACAGAACGAAGCATTAGAACTCTGACCATTGTTAATAAAAATTTGCGCAGCCTCACTTTTTCCCCTGTGTATTCTACAAAAATGTCTAAAGTACATTTTCCTTGATCATTTGGAAAAAATTAGTTTGTTAATTTATATTTCCCATGGTTTCTTTTCCTTGGTGCTCCAAAAGCCCCTGTCATGAATCTTCTTTCAAAAAGTGGCCTCCCTCTACATTAGTCATAGATCTTTAGAGAGAGGATGAAAGGTTCCTTAGAAGTCGTGTAAACAACTCCCTTGTTTTAAGGATAAGGGAACAGAGATACTGTGAATTTAATGTCTTGCCTCAGATCATAGAAATAGCTGATGGTAGAACTGGAAGTAAAAACCTAAGTCACCTGATCCACAATCTCTAGTTCTTTCCCCCGAAGAGAGTAATTTCCTGAGCCTTTTAGTTTCTCCCTATAGCATAAATTCACAGACATTGAATATTTCTACTATTCAATCTCACAATTCTAAATACTCTATATTGTCATGAGGAAAAGCTGCCTGAGGAGACTTGAGTAATGTAATACTGCCATCTAGCATTAAAATTTTTAAATTACATTAAAATATATTGTATGCTTACTATTGGAGGGAAAGTGTCTTCCTGTTTATGTGCAACAATAAACTCCTACAGAAGAGTGACACAAATATAGCCAGAAAACAAATATTTATATATAATATTTGATAACATTCATAACTAGTAAAAATGCGAAAATCCTAGAAACAGCAGCTAAGATGAAATTATTGTTTTCCAATTTTGTTCTTTTATAAAACTGTATTGGCTATGCTGGGTCATTTGAATTCCCATATGAATATTAGGATCATCTTGTCATTTTCTTTAAAAAAAAGTTGGGGGGGATTTTGGTAGGGATTGCATTGAATCTGTAGATTTGGGGAGTATTACCATCTTAATATCGTCTTCTGATCTATGAACATGGATGTCTTTCCATTTATTTAGACCTTCTTTAGTTTCTTTCAACAATGTTTTAGTTTTCAGAGTATGCGATTTTCACTTGTTAAGTTTAGTCCTAAGGTTTTTTTTCTTTTTAATGACAATAAAAAAGGAATTGTTTTCTTAATTTCACTTCTGGATTGTTTGTTGCTGGTGTATAGAAACACATTTGGTGTTTGCCTATTGAATTTATCCCCTGCAGCCTTGCTGAACTTCATTATTTCTGATTTTTTAGAGGATTCCATTGGACATTTTATATACAATATTACATAATCTATAAATATAGTTTTATTTCTTCCTTTCCAACATGAATGCCTTTGATTTATTTTTCTTTCCTGATTTCCTTGGTTGGAACCTCCAGTGCAATGTTGAATAGAAGTGGCAAGAACAGACATCCTTGTCCTGTTCCTGATCTTAGGGGGAAAACATTTAGTGTTTCACCATTAAGTATGATGTTAGCTGTGGTTTTCCATAGATGGCCTTTATCAGGTTGAACAAGTTCCCTTGTATTCCTAGTTTGTTGGATGTTTTTTATCAGGAGTGTTGGATTTTGTCAGATGCTTTTTCTGTCTATTGAGATGATCATGTAGTTATTGTCCTTTATTCTATTGATAGGCTATATGTCATAGGCAGAATAATGTCCCTACTCAAAGATGTCCAGGTTCTAATGCCCAGAACCTGTGTGTGTATATTAGGCTATGTAAGGTTGCAAATGGAATTTAAAAGTTGCTAGTCACTTAATCTTAAAATAGGAAGATTATCCCAGATTATCTAGGTGTGCCCAATGTAATCATTAGAGTCCTTAAAAGTGCAAGAGGGAGGCAGAAGGAGAGCCACAGAGATGGCAGCGTGAAAAAGATTCTGTCCAATGTTGTTCGCTTTGAATATGGAGGAATGCAAAGAATATGGTGGCCTTCTAGAAGCTGGAAAAGTCAAGGAGGTGAATTCTCCGAGAGCTTCCAAAAAGGAATGCTGACCTGCTAAAACCTGAGTTTAGCTCATTTTGGGATCCTGACCTCCAAAACTGTACGATAATGAATTTGTGTTGTTTTAAGCCATTCAGGTTGTGGTAATTAATTACAACAGAAATAGGAAACTAATACAATGTATTACATTGATTTCCAGATGTTCAACCAATCTTACATTCCTAAGTCCCAGTTGATCATGACATATAGTCCTTTCCATATTTTTACTAGATTTGGTTTGCTAGTGTTTTCTTGAGGATTTTTGAGTATTCGTAAGAGATATTGGTCTGTAGTTGTGTGTGTGTGTATGTGTGTGTGTGTGTGTGTGTGTGTGTGTGTGTGTGTGTGTGTGTGTGTGCTTTGGTATCAGGGTAATACTGGCCTCAGAATGAGCTGTGAAGTGTTCTCCCCTCTTCTAGTAGTATAGCCACTCTAACTTTGTCATAGTTGCTGTTTCCATGATACATCTTTGTCCATCCTTTTACTTTCAACCTATTAGAAACCTGTCTTTAATCTAGATTTCTTGTATAATACATTTCCTCTATAATAGCTAGTTAATAACTGATATTTTTCTGACAATGAATAAAACTGTATTTGTTTTACTCGCTTTTTTTTGTTTTTTTAATTAGCTGCTGTTGTAAACCTTTATTTTCCTAACTACAATAATAACTTCTCATTTCCATACAGTCTTTTTTTCTCTTCTTTGCACTAAACCTTGGTATTTGGGCTTATTTCTGTTTTGCTTAAAATAAAATTTAGTAACCTTATGTTGGGCCCACTTTTTTTTCCTACTGGTCTGTGAAATCTGTAAGTCTGAGAACCACTAACCTAGAGCATTTCCAAGACTAGGTTAGAGATATGTTGTACATAAAACATAGATTGTATCTATTGAACAAGTTTATTAAACTTATTAATAATTTTTAAAGTAATACGTTTTAGCAGTGTTTTTACTTTAATTCATTTTTTAAGACATTATAAAACTGACTTTGCAAAAGAGATGTAGACCTTATTAAAATCAATACTATACCTTGTGAATAACAAAAAACTATTTAAAAGTCCAATAATACACATTGGTTAAATTATAATGGATTTATTAAATCTATTAAAAACCATCCTTTATAATAGTATTGTATGACATGGAAAAATGTTCAAGTAGAGGTCAGGTTGTCTTGTTCTAGTAACTGTTCACTCCCCTAAACTTTTTGGGCATGTTACACCTTGCCAAGGTGCTGTATCATACCTGTTGGCTTTCTTTAATCCTGCTCATTCCTTTGTAAATAGCCGCCTCATTAAACCCTGTTCAAATACCCTACTTTAGTTCGTCATCCATGTCCTGCCAGGAGCCTGAGAAAGGCTGTATACACAGGTTCATGATGAAATTACACCATTACTCTCTGGTTGGTGAAATTACAGAGAAAACAATATATGCCTGTTTTTTAAAAGTATTACTATGATGTGTATACTGCAACTAATAATAGTGAGGGTTACCATTAATTAAATGTATTTTTAGTTGTATAGTATTCTTTACATATCATTTCATTTAACCCTTTAAATAATCCTATGAGATATAATAGTTACCATCCCCAGTTTACACATGAAGACACATGAAATATCTCTGATTACTGTGAATTCATGTATTATCATTGTTTTCTTTTGTAGATCATTCACGAGAAGTCTTGGAGCAATTAGTAGGCCCAAACAAATTAAAGCAAGTGACATGGACTGTTTACTGATGCTTATCAAAGCTGTGATCTTCATACTACCAGGAAATGATGGTCTTGGAGATTGGCTTTCCAATATGTAATATGGTTTGTGCTTTAACCAGACTCTTAAACACTTTAACAGTGCTATTATTCTGTGTTTGTTTGATGAGTCCGTTTTTTAAATGGTAATCCTAGCATGTCCCCTGATGCATCTGGGGTGGGGGATGGGGGTGGTACTGTGTTTGTTTCTTAAATAACGAAGTTTTAAAATTATCTGTTTTCTCTGGAGATTTCCTTCTCCTACCTAGATATTTGAGACGTTATAAGGGAAACTTACCAGTATGGATAGACATTAAGAGAATGCTAAGTAAAAGTATTTCTGAAAATATTCATTACCTTTCTAGCTATTTTCTGGTTCCTTACCTTCTTAAAGTATATTTAAATGCCATTGGCCAAAAGCAAGGCTGAACATCTGGCCTATAAATTCTTTCCAGATTTTAATATTTCAATGAAATGAAGAAATATGATAGTTTAATGTCCTAATCCATGCTATCATACACCTTAGCTGTTGACCGTATGAATGTTATGGAGGCCCTCGCTCAGCCACTTCCTTCATTGATTTTTATGGCTACTTTTTCTGAAAAGAGTTCCCAGACCTAATTCCAACGTGTATGTGTGTGGGGTCCCCCCCACACCAACAAACAATTCTCAGACATCGGCAGGGCATCTAAGAATTCAAGTCAATTCTGACACTATCTACTTAGAGAGAACATCAGATTCTACAGGTTAAAGGTTCAGTCCTGAAAAGACTGCCCCCCACCCCACCCCACCCAACTTCAGATGCCAGTTGCAAGGCCAAGTTGTTACCTGTGCTTCAGACCAATTGGCCATAAAACTGGAGGTTCCAACGACTCCCTCCTTGGGTTTGATTAATTTGCTAGAACACTCAGAACTCAGGAAAGCCTGTCTACTCACTAGAATACCAGTTTGTTACAAAAAATACTAAAGGACACCAATCAACAGCCTGATGAAGAAATACATAAGGAGAGGTCCTGAACAAAGGAGCTTCCATCCTTACGGAGCTTGGGGCCCAGAGCAGTGGCAGGTGGAAGGCTTCTGGTTCTTCAGCCTGGAAGCTCTCCAGACCCCCTCCTTGTAGGTTTTTATGGAGGCCTCATTACATAGGCATGATTGATTAATTCATTAGCCATTGGTGATTGATACAACCTCTAGCTCCTCTCTCCTCGCCAGAAAATCAGGGGTGAGACTGAAAGTTCCAACCCTTTATTCATGGTTGGTTCATGGCATCCAGCTGTCCTTAGGTGCTTTGCCAGTCACCTTCATTAATATAAACCCAGTTATGGTGGAAAGGGCTTATTATGAATAACAAGACACCTTTTCATCTTTATGGCTCTGTTTTCAAGAACTGAGGACAAGCGACCTAATATAATAAATGATGCTCCATTACTCTTATTGCTTAGGAAAATTCCAAAGGTTTTGGGAGCTGTGAGCCAGGAACTGTGGATGAAGACCAAATACGTCTAAGAAATAAATTTTGGTCATCTGAATGATCAAATAAATATCTATCCTATAAATCACAATATCACATTGCCCAAGTATGTTCTCTCCATCTATAAACTTCCTTCCTTAAAAACTGCGTTCAGGAATGTGTAAGAATCGGTGAATATAAACTATCATTCAGCGGTTGTATTCTGAAGCTCTGTTGGTTTCACATTGTGAAATAAACAGCACAGGTCTTAGTTTTCAAATGAAACATATTTCTCTTCTATAATCACAAAATTCTCTGATGTATAATGTGCTTAAACCACGCAGCATATTCCCTGTGCCATGAGCCTGTCTCTGGGGTACTTTCTTAAAGATTTCCTATTTTAACTCTGATGTAGTGAAAAACAAGGAAAGTATGATATGGTAAACTTCTTGTATGTGTTTAGAAGGAGGATTTACATATTCAATTCTATTTCTTGTCCTTATTATTAATACTTTATAAATTTGGTATGTTTATAGTGTGGCGAAATACAAGGTGTGATCATACAATATGGTGAATATTTAAATTAAAAAAATCATTACAGTAAAAGACACATTGCCATTAATCCCCCTCAAAATACTCCCCCTTGCTTCAAACACACTTATCCCATCATTCTTGCCACTTTCTGAAGCAGTTCTGGAAGTCCTCTTTCATGAGTGTCTTTAGTTGTGCTGTTGTGGCTGCCTCGATGTCCTTAATCATTTTGACTTTGGGGAAGAGCCAGAAGTCGCCTGGTGCCATATCCGGTGAATAAGGACACAGCATAATGTTTTTACTTGACAGAAATTGCTGTATGCCAGAGGCAATGTGTGACAGTGCATTGTCATGATGGAGGCTGATTTACGGCACACTTTAAAACACACCTTCTCTCAGCTAGACTGACTGCACCGAACAAGTTGAAACTTGTCACACAATTTGTTATGTGCCGCTTCCCATATTGAAGATCCCTGCCTTTCCATTGGCTAGCACTCGGCAGCAGTATTCACTGTATTTTGTGATCACAACAAAAAGGCTCCGTGTCACGCATCATTTCTGGTATGGCAGTTTCTGTGAAATGAAAACATTATGGTGTGTCCTAATCCATCTTATTCACTGGATCTGGCACCATGTGACTCTGGCTCTTCCCCCAAAGTCAAAATGACCATGAAAGGAAAATGTTTTGAATGGATTCAGGACATTGAGGCAGTCACGACAGTGCAACTAAAGACACTCACGAAAGAGGACTTCCAGAACTGCTTCATAAAGTGGCAAGAATGATGGGATAAGTGTGTTTGAAGCAAGGGGGAGTATTTTGAGGGGGATTAATGGCAATGTGTCTTTTACTGTAAGAAATTTTTATTTAAACCTTTATCATGTATATATATAACCTAGTCTTGGCAATATCTATATAATCTCCACGCATCCTTCCACTTCCAGGCTACATTTTATAATTAACTCGTAACATATATAATGGTGGTGTTTACAGCAGTTTTAAATTAGATAATGGGAAATACAGTACATATAATTAGTACAAAGTTACAAGACCCAAAGGTGAAAACTAGGTATCCCTCCCACTGCAGTCCATCAACTATCTGGTATCCTCTCAGAAGTCAGCCATTATTACCAGTTTCTTATTTGTATTTCCAGGGATATTCTATGTATACTGCAAGCAATTTTGTATTTTATACATATACATCCATATGTAGTAGGTATTGTCAAACGAACTCAAAAAGAGTCTGGAGGCTTTGCTAGAAAAAAAGTAACAAAGATTTATTCAAGGATCTTAGAATTTGAAAACTGAAAATATAGCTAGGAAAAAACCCAGAAGTGTTCCGAAGAAGAAAAGTTAAGGGTTCTTATAGTAAAAGTCATATCCCCGAGAATAATCAGTCCTGCATCGTTAGTCCAAGGATTGGTCCAGGACGATTATCAGCCAGATGTGAGCGATCTAGATGATGGATACCAGGGAATCTGGAGGAAGAGCACCAGGAGGTCTGGTCACATCCTGAGTCCTTGAGGGGATAGTCAGAGGGTTATCCACAGGTAAGTAAATGTCCGGGCATTGACACAGGACTGGAAAGTTCAAAAGTTTAAGTTCCCAGGCTAGTTAAGACAAAGAAAAGAATTGTTTCCTTATGCTTCAATCTTCATAATGTTAATAATTTAATATCTTGGTTAAAGTGACTCCATTTTGTATTTTCCCTGTCTTCATTCTTTTCCTCAGTATGTACTATAGCTTTTTTACATAAATAGTGGTATACTATACACAATCTTCTTCACATTTTTTCTCATTTATGTCATAGTGGTTTTATTGATATTGAAGATCCCAAAAATCGGGGCATGTAGTGGTGGCATAACCAATTTCTAGCTAACCTCGGTAAGTCATGAAGGAGGTATGATAAGGTGTCATAGTACAGAGCATGTAGGAAAATTCTAAAATCTTTATTTTAATCCATGATTGTCAATGAAACCCTGTTATGTACTAAATTCGATATTCTTCTATACTTTGTATTTTGTTTGTTTAACTCAACAATACATCATATAGTTGTCCTCAATTACAGAAACAGACTGCTACAATCTCTAATTCCTTTCTAATTCTTAAATTACACATTGCTACCATTGAGTATTGCTTTCTATAATTATATTCCTGTAGCAGTAAAACTAGAAAAAAGGATTACAGAGAGATTTGTATATTTGGTATAATGCAGAACTAGTTACATGACAAAGGCTGAGAAAACTTTTTTTTTTTTTTTAAGATTTTATTGGGGAATTGGGGGAGGGGACCAGCCAAGTTGTTGTTCTTCAATCTTCGTTGTGGAGGGCGCCAGTTGCCATCTGGCTGCCCGTCGGCAGCTCGTGGCCTCTAAGCTCAAGGTGCTGTGTTCAGGTCTTCGTTGCAGGTGGGCATAGCCTACCAATGAACAGGCAATCTTGTTGTTACACCAGCTGAGCCATCCTACCACCTGTTGGCAGCTCAGCGACAGCTCAGCTCGGGCGCAGTGTCACTGGCCCATGTGGGAATCGAACTGGTGGCCCTGTTGCTCAGAGCTCGCGCTGTTAAGCCAACTCTTAACCAACTGAGCCACTTGGCTGGCCCCAAAGGCTGAGAAAACTTTAAACCTTCATATTTTGGAAATAAGATTTGCCATTTAATAGACATTGCATTCTTTAAACTGGAGAGTCTTTTAGGGATAAACCCACACATAGCTATATCCATACTTGGAAGCACTTTGATAACTCAAGGCTGGAAATTCCACACTGTGCTTGTTGTCAGTCCATTGTTTTCCTGCCTAGTAGGTTCTGGAAGTGAATATTCTACCACTTTGTGCAGTTGATGCCGAATGCTGTGTCCTCTGAACTGGGGTCGTCCAGGGTCACCAATAAGTACTTGAGTTCTATGAGTCCAAAAGCAATTCTTCAGCCATCGATGAAGTCTATCTGCAAGGTCTTCATCATAAAACATATCTCCAAGCACAACAAGGTCCCACTTATCTTGTTCCAAATCCAAAATGTTTTTGGTTAAAATAGGAAAAGGATTCAGTTGGTTCAATTCACAATTCAGTAAGATAGCCATTCCTGCAACTTTAAAAAAGCACATGATGAATTGGTATACACTAGGCTGTTTTAATCCCATATTGATTAAGTAATTTAGAAAATCTAACAATATGTTTTTTTCCCTTTTTGTTAAAAGATGATTTTTAGGTAAAGTTTATGCCAATATAAGCTATTTACTGCAATTTTCAAATATGATTGGATATCCTGAAAACAAAACAAACAATACAAAAGACCTGGAAATGTTGGGATTTTAAGGAACATTTGCTGATCTCAATAACCAAGAGGTTTGGTTTGTTACAGGAGACAGGGAAATATGCCTTGGGCTTGATTAAGGTGGCAAGTTAGAACTGAGTCCCCTGCTATAAAATAAGGACCTTCCAGGGTTACAGGCTCAGTAAAAGGAAAGATGAGAAGAAAAGCAGATAAAATTAAAATTTACCTTTCTCAACTTGGGTTCTACTGGAACAAAATCATCTTTAATGACACAGGCCTACCCTCACTTGGGTTATTTTTGTGTTTTTTTTAAAAAGATTTTATTGGGGAACTGGGGAAGAACAGCGTTGGGGAATCGGGGAAGGGGAACAGACAAGTTGCTGTTCTTTTGTTCTCAGTCTAGTTGTGGAGGATGTTGCTTCACTGGCCCATGTTGATATTATCATTGCGTTCTTCCCGGCTGAGGCAGTTGCTCCACGGCCATTGGACGGCTGCTCACGGTGGCTCACAGCAGCTCACAAAAGCTCACGCCAGCTGCCGGCCAACCCCACTGCAGCCTACGCCATCGCTGACAACTCACTGTAGCTCAGCTTCAGGTAGAGCTGTTGTTCACCATCTTAACTGTAGAGGGCACAGCATCACCAGCCCTCATGTGGCATCTGAACTGGGGCCCTGCTGCTCACAGCTGGCGTCCCAAGCCAACTCCTAACCAACACGCCACTTGGCCAGCCCCTCACTTGGGTTTTTGGTCAAATAAACACTACCTACATATTTCAGGAAATTCTTAGCCCAGAAATTAACAGTAAGTTCTTGGTTTGGTATCACTTTGGGATATCTGACAGACACAAATACAAATCCTCTTTGGAAAAATGCACCGTCAACTCAGGCCTCCCAAGATTCCCATGTAATGTACCACTGAACATAGTTCACAATATCATAATATAGACATAGAAATAAGCTATCATGTAGATAAGGCATCTATAGATATTTGTCCTGGGAGGAAAAAAAAAGATAAGCTTTAAATGTTTTTAAATATGAAATCCTTACTAGGGTCTATGTCAGTGGCCAAGATCCTTGATGCCCCGCTCATCTTAGCAGCAATAGCTGTAGCCCCACATCCACTCCCAAGATCCAACACAGATTTTCCTCTGACAATGTCAGGATTATCCAAAAGATACCTAAATCAGAAAGAAAGAGAAAAACATTATCTAAGAGATGGAAGAAACTCAGTAAGAGGTGACACAAAAAAATTTCTTTGGATTGACTGGACAAAGAAATAGTGGAACTTAGCAGAGCTCAGTCCGACCTTGGCAAATTGAGCCTGACTAGAGTGAGACAAAATGTCAATCTTAAGAGCTGGACAAAGGCGGCAGAGAGAGGACCTAGTCATTTGATCTTTCTTTTCACCAGGCATGAAGAGCAGTTCTATACAACTGACAAATCATGCTCTTAAAGTCAACTTTTAAAAAGTATTGAGCACTTACTATGATCCAGAAACTACCAAGCACCAAGAATATAGACTGACAAAATACTGCTACAGTCAGGACGCAGAATACTAAATCCAAAAATCCACCATCTCCTTTTGATTGTTCACCATAGAGTGGTTTTACCAACTGTTTGAATTGTATCATAATGACCGCTCTGATAAGGTATGCTCAAAGTCTATTTCAACCAAAGAATTCAGATCAGGGCTAAGTAGTTACCAACATGTGAAGATGAATGGGAAAACACTGAAATAATGAAAGCCAACTGACACTTGACCTTAGTATTGGGCTAATAAATAGCAGGGACTATGGCAAAGTAGGGGTGTATATGCCCTGTTAGCGACAGCTGCTACGCATCTTCAGCTAATTGTTACCTCACAGAAATCCCATATTATTAGAGATTATTCCTGTTTTTCAAATCAATGTAGATTTTTACATGAAATCCCTCAAGTTTTAAATGTTAGCAACTGATATTTTAAGTGTGTTGAAAAGCAGGAGCTGGTGTACGGAATTAAGACTGGGCAGATTAGGGCCTGCTGAATGAGATGGCCCAGTCATCCACACGGGGGAGCAGGTACCTCCCTCCGTATGTGAGCTCCCACTTTGGGGCTATGAAAACCATGGGGTAATTTTGATTGCAGGCACAGGTTCTGTTTCCACAAAGGAAATTGTCACAAGATTTATTACTTCCAGATCCCAGAAGGAAAGGGGCACAATGAGCTGGGAGAATTCGGATTTGGAAGGGGGCTGAAAAGAGATCTGTAGCAACCAGAAAGGTTCCCATTTCAATCAGGGCAATACCTAGACAGGGCTTGGCCTCCTGGCCAGTAGATTGCCCAGTAAGGATCGCTGTGGGGCCACAGGTCAGCTCTTTCCCACCAGAACTTGCATCTGGGGGTCAAAAGCCGCAACTGGATTTCGGGGGTGAGGCTGCCACTGCTGGTGACTTCAGTGTTCTCCTCCAGGAAAGCTTTCATCTCAGGGTCCAAAAAGCGTCCAGTTCCTCTCCAAGGGCAGTGGCCCTGGGGAAACAAGGGAAGACCACAGCTTCTCGCAGCCTTCAGAAAGACAGCACAGCGGTTGTTCATGGGAAACGGTGCAAATGCTCTCCAGCCTAGACTCAAAGCCATCCGTCCTTTTCTAAAACACAGGTTCTGTCAATGTTGCTGTTGATAAGAGCTGCTCCTCATCTGGCTGCCAACTTGGTCTCAACTGGAATCTCTAGATTTCTAAAAACAGAAATAATACTGAAAATTCCAAGGCTCACCCACACGTCCAAATCCTATTACATAGTAAGCAAATATTACAATGTAAGCTCATAGCAGATAATAGACAAATACAAGTTCATTTTAGATGAAAGCGTTGGTGCATCAATTTAGGAAAACCCAACCATTTTGGTTTGTTTTTTTGCTGCCTTCCTCAGACCAACCTTTTAAAAGGATGCTTTTTCACAATGAAATCTTTTTAACAATTTCAAACAACAAATATATTAATACAAACATGATTTGGAGAGGAATCTTCGGGAACAAGGCCTGTTGCACAAAATAAGGTATACCTTTAAAGTTCTTTTTTACATTTAATCACTTACCCTTAAGCAGGCACTATGCTTGACAACTGTGAACAAAAATAAAAGTCCCTGTGTTCAGGGAGCTTAGATTCTAGTGGTGGGATAGAACAATTAACAGGCAAACACAGTTCTTGCCTCTATGAAGTCTAGCGAAGAGTTCTGGAGGTTCACAAACTATTAATGGTCTGTCGGCAGAAGTATACCAATTATACTGATTACACTCTATTTCAATAATGATTGTCGTAGCATACAACATCAGTGTAAACAAGATTTGGATTTTTTTTCCTTAAAAAAACTTTATGGTTTTAATAATAAAAGAATATCAACTCCCAAATCTCTTTCTGTAAATATCTCTGATAATTTATCTTTACCAAGTCTGGGGTGAAAAGATCTGTTCCAAAAAAAATAAAACACCTTGAGAAGAAAAATTAGGAAGGACGAACAGCAATTTAAACACAAATTATACAGCCAGTTGTTTGGGATCTCTAGTCTGTTGTGCATAAATATTTTAAATACTCTCATATTCACGTAAGTATTTAGAGTAGGGGCCCAAAACGCAAATGCCTACCAGGGACCAGACTGGTGATAAATGAGTGCTACGGGCTGACTGTAGGGTAACAGAGGGGCTGTGGCAAACTGGAGACTGCTTCTCAACACTGGCCCAAAGGGGACAGCAGAATGCTGCCAGGCAGGAACGCCTTGCTAGAGCTTCCCATTTCTCAAAATAATCCAGATAGTTATGCATAAACTCCCATTTTTAATCGTTAACGATCAATTAAAATATCAAAACACGGAGTAGGCTAAAATGCCTATCAGGCCACTAGTCTGCGAATTCAGGACAGACTTAAGTAGGTGTTATCTCACGTTTACGCCCTGGGGATCCCAGGGGTCACTAATAGCCTGACATTCAATTCTGTTAGGAAGCATTGGGTTAGCCCTTGAGTTGCACAAACCTAAGATTTAAAAACAAAGCAGAGGAAATAGATGATTTTGGACACCATGTCATCTAGACCGACGCTGTCCCTCCCACCCCAGCAACAATCGGTTAAGAATGTGTGCTTATGTGGTGGACACTTAGTATATGTATTAATTGGTAAGGAAAGGACCCGGGTGAAAATGGGTAAATTACAAGTGTTTGTGACCACGTTATTTCCCTCCAAGGAGGACAGGAGTTGATCTTAAAGGGACAGGCACAGTCTTCCTTTTCGCCTTACCTTGGCCTTGCTAACACCGCCCTGAGAAGCTAAAGCACAGGGCACATCTGTCACTCGCCTTTGCGCATATTTCCGCGCATTCTTTACTACCGCGAGGGGATACAGCCTCTTCAGCCCGAGGCTCGCGGGGAGCAGGGCAGGGCCGCTGCGGGGGCCCGGGGCGGCAGGCTCCGCCTTCCTTCCCAGCAGCGCTTTCTCTTCCCTTTCCCAAGCTTTCTTAAAGGGGCAGGCGGTGCCAAACCAGAGGGCGCGCTGACCTTGCTTTGGAAATAAAGAAACGGCAAGCTCTGATTTCTAAAATGTTCATTATGAAACTATTTATGACACTTTGTATCAATCACATTTCTAGGCACTGGGCATGGAGTGGTCTGCAAAATCATGTATATGCCCTTTACGAAGCTTACATTGAACTGCAATTAAATCACAATGTGAGCCCTCTCGTATAATAATTTTAATAACTGTACAATCTAAATTTATTTGCAATCTAAATCAGTCAAGTTCTGGACCCATGTGTCCATCTTCTAACTGGACTCAGATATCCCTCAACTTGTCCCTCAACACATTCCAAAATTAACTCATCATCTCACCTTACAACAATGAAAACCTGCTCTGACATACCAAAGAGGGAAAAAAATTGTCCCAAACCAAGAACTAGGCAAACCGTGTTTCTGCTTCTTAGTTGGTAGTTTGAGAGATGAACTGGAAGCCGCCTGCTCAAAATGAGAAGTTGTCACTTGGGTTCTCTGCTTCTGCCTTCTTTAAATGGGGTTCCTGCTTTCCCTGTAAACTGGAACCTCTAGGAGCTACTACACAGGAATAAAACTTTGTTATTCCAATTAACATCCTTATCATTTGCTTCTTAGATGAATGGCATATATATTTCTGATAGGCTACACCCCTGGCATTTCAGAATATTCTGCCCTACATTTCCTCTATAATAACCAATATGGTGTTTTTATGACTGAATGAAACTGTGTTCATTAACTTACCAGCAGCTTTTTAAAAATTAGCCGCTGATGTAAACATTTGTTTCTTCAACTATAACTCCTCATTTCCATACACCCACCAATTCTCTTTCTAACAATAAACCATTAAACATGTTCAAGATCAATTTGTCTAAGAATTGTCGTTGTTAACCAGCTTCTGTGTTCTATCCCAGTGAATGGCAAGAACACCCCAATCATTGCCCAAGAAACCAGAGAATGAAGGCAGGTCTAACATTTCTACAAAATAGGGTTTCTGGTAAAAATCTTGGTGCTCATCATAGAAGATGTATTTAATAACGTCAAGACACTTTATCCAAAACTTGGAACTAGGCTAAAGGGATTGCTACAAGTCTTTTCCCCTCCTTTATAGTTTTAAAATTGATCCACTCCTTTCCCTCCTTGCCGCGATTGCCTTAGTTCAGCCTTATGATTGCTTAGCTGAATTCCTGTAACTGGTTTCTCTCTCCAGTCCTGCCTTCTTCTAACTCATTCTTAATACTGCAGCTTACTTTTTTTGTTTGTTTTGGGTTTTGTTTTTTTGGGGTTTTTTTTTTGGAAATTTACATTCTTATAGTTCAGAAAAGGCCTTATATTCCTATAGTCCCAGATAAACCTTGAAAAACAAACACCTGGAGTTTCTTTTCTGTTGTTGGTGTGTTGTTGTTGTTGTTTTTTTAATTGAAAAAAATTTTAATTGCTCTTATCAAAATTGACCTAAATGCAACCAAGCAGACTTATCAACTGATAACAATTAGAGCTATTTTCTAAACCTGTGATTTTTGCCTTTAAAAACCTGTTTACATTTTTGTTCAGAGAGCCAATTCTCTAATAACTGGTCTCTCTTGCAAGTGCAAGTTAAAAAAAATATTATTCTGTTCTCAAATTTATCTTTAAAGTTGTTTTTTTTAGACAAGTTATTCAATTATACTTATTAACTGTCTGACCTCAGGTACATTATTAAACCTTCCTAATGAAGGGGATCAGGATATGCTACCCCAAAATATGCCACGTTGGCATAAGAATTATTTTGAGCTGAAGGTGTTTGAGTTCCTGAAATCCTTTATCTGCCTAAATTGGAACATCCCAAAAGAACTCAATTGTCATAATCCCGCTTTCCAGGAGCAACTCTTATCTTCTTGGCTTGAGAAATAGACAGCACACCCAAACAGACATCTTCACAAGACTATCATATCTCCCATTTATTCCCCTAGGGGGGACTTTACCTTATTCTGCATTCCTTTTGAGTTACTCATCACTGAATTCTCCTGCAAGTTTGTGTTGCATGTGTAAATTCTGTTTTTCCCCTCGTTAATCTGTCTTGTAGGCTTACTTCACATATCCCAGACCCTGAACATAAGAAGATAGAGGAAACTTTTTCCTCCCCTACGCTAAGAATCTGTTTTCTCTTCTATAAAATAGTGATGATAATAATAACAACGTACTGGAAGAATTTAATGAATAAAAGTGAAGTGCTTAGCACAGTTCCTGGCATATTGTAAATACTTGATAAGTGCACTATTGCTGTGTTTATCATGATTGGAAATACGGAGATAGTGTTGGTTAAGGAGCAAGGCTGGAGGCTGAAGATCAGGTTTTCAGCTAAAAGTGAGAGGATCAGATTTGAATTTTAGAAAACTGTTTTAAGCTGCAGGTAGCCAGTAGTTTAGAGAGAGGCAAGACTGGAAGACAGGGAGACCACCAGTTCGAGGATACTGTGGTAATCCAAGCAAGCAATAATGAAGATCAGAACTAAGGCAACTGCAGCAAGGATGGAAGGAATAGGACATATCTGAAAATGATTTAGGAAAAGCTATTAGTAGGACTTGGAGACTGATTAAATATGCCTGCTTAACCATAATGATAGACAACCTAAGGGCATGATGTCAGTTTTTCTTTCTCAACGTGACCTCCCTGTGCTCTTACTCACCACGCTATCTGATCATGTTCTCCCTTGCTTAAAATCCTCTCTGGCTCCCCAAGACTTCAATATCAGAGCCAAATTCCTGATTACAGCTACCCAGGCTCTTAGTGATCAGTGCCTACTTTTCTATCCAGCCTTGTTTCAAAACCCTCTTCCTGTCCCCTACAATTTGCTTTTCTTGCCCAGTACCTCTTCTCTCACGCTAGGCCTTGCTTAAGACACACAGCTGCTACCACCACCATACATACACACCCCTCCTCGCTGTCCCTACCTAGCCACATCCTTACCCTTCCAAATGCAGCTCAGGCTTAAGGTTCTCTGAAAAGCCTTCCCTAGCACACACACTGATCTTGGCATTTTCTTAGCTTCCTGTGGGTATATCCAACAAGAATATCACAGAACTGTCATTGCCTGGCTTCTGGACTGGACTTAGAGACAGACAGTCTTATTCCTCTTTATCTCCTGCCACAGTTGGACACTCAATAAATTCTGTTGAATGAAAGAAAAAGCAAATGAGTAAATTAACAAATATCACACATCAATGACTCATTTTAAATTTTAACAGCTTTATTGAGGTATAACTGACAGACAATAAACTTCACAAATGTAAAGTATACCAGCTGTCTGGAAGAACTCCACATCATGGACTTTGGTGTCAGGCATTTGAATTGTAGCCATTCTAATGGATATGGGGATATGAAGTTATTCCCATTTCAGTATTCATATATATTATATATAAGATATATATATATATATATATCTTAAAGAAGACCCTCTACCATTCCTTGTAATACTGGTTTGGTGGTGAGGAACTCCTTTAACTTTTTCTTGTCTGGGAAGCTCTGTATCTGTCCTTCGAGTCTAAATAATAGCTTTGCTGGGTAGAGCAATCTTAGTTGTAGGTCCATGCTTTTCATCACTTTGAATATTTCCTGCCAATCCCTTCTGGCCTGCAAAGTTTTTATTGAGAAATCAGCTCATAGTCTTATGCGAGCTCCCTTGTAGGTAACTAACTGCTTTTCTCTTGATGCTTTTAAGATTCTCTCTTTGTCTTTAACCTTTGGCATTTTAATGACGATGTGTCTTGGTGTGGGCCTCTTTGGGTTCATCTTGTTTGGGCCTTCTGTGATTCCTGGGCTTGTGTATTTCCTTCACCAGGTTAGAGAAGTTTTAAGTCATTATTTCTTCAAATAGGTTTTCAATCCCTTGCTCTCTCTCTTCTTCTGGTACTCCTATGATGTGAATGTTGGTGCACTTGATGTTGTCCCAAAAGTGCCATAAACTCTCCTCATTTTTTTTGGATTCTTTTTTTTTTTGCTGTTCTAATTGGGTGTTTTTTGCTACCTTATCTTCTAAATTGCTGATTAGATCCTCTGCTTCATCTTATCTACTGTTGATTCCTTCTAATGTATTCTTCATTTCAGTTATCGTAGTCTTCATTTCTGCTGGTTCTTTTTTATGTTTTCTATCTTCATTTTTATGTTTCCTATTTCTTTGTTGAAGTTCTTCCTGAATTCATTGAGCATCCTTATAACCAGTGTTTGGAACTCTGCATCTGATAGATTGCTCGTTTTCATTTTGTTTAATTCTTTTTCTGGAGCTTTGTTCTATTTTTTTATTTGGGAAATGTTATTTTGTCTCCCCATTTTGGCTGCCTCCCTGTGTTTGTTGCTATGTAGGGCTGCTATGCCGCCTGGTCTTAGTAGAGTGTCCTTATGTAGTAGGTGTCCTGTTGGACCCAGTGGTGCAGTCTCCCTGGTCACCAGAGCCAGGTGCTCCAGGTGTGTGTCCCTTGTGTGGGTTGTATGTGCCCTCCTGTTGTAGTTGAGACTTGATTGCTGTTTGCACATCAGTGGAAGAGATTGACCCTGAGGCTGATTGGTTGTGAAGATTGGCTGTGACTACAGTGGAGGAGTTGTTGTGCTTGGGCTGGCCGTACAGAGCAGGGTTCACTTTAGTGGGACTCTGGGTCCTGCCCAGTCTGCCCTGTGGGTGTGTCGTTCTTAGAGGTGGCTGGGTGATGCTTAAGCCAAGTCACTGGGCTGCCACTGGGACTGCCAGCCCTAGGGCCTTCTGGGAGGGGACTTGCTACAGGCCAAGTTCAGCTGCAGTCTGTGTCCTGCCCAGGGCCACCTGGCATAAGCCACAGAGCAATCCACAGATGGCCACCATCTGCATTGTGCTTGCTGGTGCCTTGAGAGTTCAAGCCACGAACCAAGGCCAGCTGTCGCTAGTGCCAGACTTAAGGCTGCTCAG